TAAAAATAAAGAGTTATAATTACTTTATGGATGATATGTAAAGCACATTATAAACAGTGAGCCTTTGCTATAAGTTTTGTGTTTTCCCAGGGATCCATGAAGTTCCCTGGTTGAGAAACACTGGTCTGGTAAAAAAAATTCTGGACTAGAAACAGACAAGATTCTAGCCAGAGTCCTGTATTTAACAGGCCATTGGTGATTTGAGGCACGTCAGTTAACATTTGTGGACTTGATTTCCTTGTGTAAAAAGTGAATAGATTAGGTAGATAGTTGCTAAGAACCTTTCCATTAATAGAACATAATACTATACCTTATAAATCTTTAAGCTTAACATAAAAACCTAGAAAACACAGGACCTCCCAAAAGTATACCTGGATTTATTACAGGAAGCAACTGCAATGGGAAAAATGAAAACAGTGAAAATTGCAACTCTACTATTTCCAAATTTAGGTACAATTATACCCTCTGTCCCAAGCAATGTTCGAAAAACTATGGTTTACTTTCGAATAAATTATCTCAAAGAGAAATTAGCATTTCAGGTATATTTTACTTGATCTCTGGGTATATTTATTAGACATGTAAGTGTGCAGGCTTATACTCAGGTATTGTTTGATAATCAAAGAAAATATTATATATGAAAGTACTTTGAACATTACCATTTTATTATCTAGGATTATTAGGTATTAAAATGTGTATCATTCCTTTGTATTACCCTAGTTGTCTATAATGGATTCTATCTTATCAGACTCAGTAAAGTAATGGAAATTTTTTATTCATGCATGTCATTTAATACCAAGTCATTGTGACATTGATTTTTGCACATTTTGGGTATTTAACTTATATTTAATGTAATAATTATTATTATTATTTCTGTTAGTCTTGTTTCTAAAATGGCTCTGAAAGCTCTTTCAGGAGAGACATCACTCAAATGGTGATATTAATAATGATAACAATGACAAAACAATAATGATAGAAATAACAATCATGGCATAGATAACATACTGACATCACATTACGCACCAGGATTTTTCCAACCACTTGGAGCATTTTATTTAATATATTTGGTTACTATGACTACTTTCATTTTACTTATGAGAAAGGACATTGAAAATCTGTGAAGCTAAATGATCAACAGATCACACAACTATTAAAGCCAGGACCTACATTTATCTTACTCCAAGTCCTATGCTCAGAGCCTTAGCTTTGCTACTGCGGCTCCAGAGTTTTTTGGCTTGGAGAGCTTAGAATAATGCTAGGCATGTGGAAATGTTCAATAAATAAAAATAAGCTGAAAATATTTGTGATATAAATTCAATGACCCCAATACAAATAATATATTATTTCAGTATAGACTGAAAAGAAATTTCAATGTTACAACTATAAAATTAAAACACTCTGGGCATCATTCTACCTCACCATATATATTATCTTCCCTTAGAATTTCCTCTTTCAGGGAAGTCTATATTAATATTTGCAACACAAAATTTTCTTACCTAATATCCATTCTCACATTCTTCCTTATGAAACTCTTACTTTGTTCATGACAAATATATGTACTTCTTATCAGATTGTATTACAGCTAGAGGTAGCCATAAAACCCACTTCTAGACAAGGATCCGAGTCCTCTGGGTAAGGCTTTCAACAAAACTACTGTTTTCCAAAAAAAAAAGAGGAGAGATAGACTCAGATAACAGTGTATACGCCTTTTACCTTTAACCTTTCTTCCTCCTTACCTAATGCATGGACACAGGTGCCTACCGCATAATCAAAATGACACAAACATATCTTCAGCTGAGAAAAATAAATCCTACTTGTTAATCTGGTACACTTCTGATTGCATTCACCTGGGTGCAATTCTAAGGCAATGATGACATAATTAAAAATCCTATTTTATAGATAGCAAGTAAAATAAGAGTTTAATAAAGATAAATGATGGTTTCTGTGGTATTATCATGCCTCTGTCTTGAACCACATAATTTTTCTGAGATATTTTGAATCGTTCATTCTCTAGCTTTACATTAAATCTAACTAAATAGATTTAACCCTTATTGACCTTGTCTTTAAAGATACTATTAAAAAGGTCAGGATTTAGCTCAGCAGCACCGCACCTGCCTTACAAGTGCAAGATCCTGAGTTCAATCCCTGGTACCAGAAAACAAAAAAACAAAACAAAACAAAAAAACCTCAGAGAAAATAAATCAATAAATAATAACAAAAATTGTTTAGCAAAAAAAATTTTCCCGAAATAGTTTTATATGTCAAAGAACAACTTTGAAACTGCTCTCCTTGGTTTCCTAATCCAGAACTTTCTGGCCAACCTGCCTTACAACACTGATTTGCTGCTAATGGTTACAGGCAGGTGTGCCAAGCTACTGTTCAGCCTCAGTCACCAGGTCAGTCAGGTAAGTCGGAGGCCCAGAGGTGGTTGCGTCAGCCTACAACAGTCTTGTCCACTCACCTCAGTGCACTATGCAAACCTTCTTATAGTCCACAAGGTGAAAAGGTTGAGCAGCCTGACCCTATATGATGGCTAGATGCTGTCAAAATTATAAGTCCATATTTACAATCTCACTGGGACCCCAAATTAGTTCACACACTCAAATTCTAAGTATAATTTTACTCTTGGTTAAATAAAAAATGGTCCAGGGGGCAGTTAATAGTACCAAGGTTCAAGGATGGGTGATTTGTCCACTGAAACATCACACTGCTAGGACATGGCAGAGTAAGACTTTTAAATCAAGGTTTTCTATGTGCAAACCCCTTTTCCCCTGATATACCTCTCTGTATGACGACATTCCAAGCTTATCCAGATCTTTAAAAACAGCATTTGATTTCATTCTCTGAAGAAAGTTCAAATGGTTTTCCTTTGTTTTTCTTGTGACCGTTATGCAAACACTAATGTATACGAAAACTGATACTCTCTTTGAACTTAGCAGGACTGGGAAAGCATAACACTAATTGGCATATTTAGACTGTAGCAATTCTCTTTTTACAGCTCCCCACCTCCAATATCCAGAGACCTAATGCTTGTTATTTTGGGTTAGTAGAAAAGTTTTGGCCCATCACTCTAGAAATCTCCCTAAAAGTATCTGTAAAAGAGAGAGGACATTAAAAAGAAAACAGCATGTTGCCATTAATAAACGTAAGTTGCTGTTTTGTTTTACCAATCGCAGTTTCTTATTGTCTTTTCCATAGAAAGAAAGTGAAATGAAGGGCTGGGGATTTAGCTCAGTGGCACCACACCTGCCTTGCAAGCCCAAGGTCCAGAGTTTGATCCCAGTACCGCAAAAAAAAAAAAGAAAAAAAAGAAAAAGAAAGAAAGAAAGAGAAAAAGAAAATGAAATGAAAGAAACTGTCAAAAATAAATTACATAATGGACAGATAAACATATAAATTTTAAACACAGGGCAATTATTGCAAAGAGATATTAATGAAATAAATAGGACTTAGGTTTACTATTTCTGCTTTAAAAGCTAGATAAATCAATAGATTTTTAATGGGCAGAATATTTTAATTTCTTTCTAACAATGCAGAAAGAGGATATATACATGGAAACAGGAAGATAAAAATAGGAAACATCTAAAAGTAGCAAATATAGACAGATTTTGAAGCACAGGTGATGTCTAAAATATTAACCAGAACCTTAATTCTCTGTTCAGATATTAACATGATTGGGTGGTTGAACATGCATGGCATAAAACAATATATGTAAACAAGCAAGAATGACAGAATATAGTAAATGAGGTGGTTGCAACAGGCTCATCACAGGTTTTAAATTTCATGTTTAAAGAAGTGGGCTCCATAACTAGAACACCTAAGTTCAAATCCTAGTTCTATCACTTAGCAGTTGAGAGATGACAACATGCTTAAGATTTTCTTTTTTTCTTCTTTTTTTTCCCCCATTAACTTTATTGGTACATTTTAGGTATACAATACAGTTACATTCATCATTGGGATCTTGTACCATTACATGAGTCTCT